CAACCTAATAGCGATGGCCTCCAACCAAATAGCGATGGCCTCCCACCTAATAGCGATGGCCTCCAACCTAATAGCCATGGCCTCCCACAGAATAGCGATGGCCTCCAACCTAATAGCGATGGCCTCCAACCTAATAGCGATGGCCTCCCACCTAATAGCGATGGCCTCCAACCTAATAGCGATGGCCTCCAACCTAATAGCGATGGCCTCCAACCTAATAGCGATGGCCTGCAACCTAATCACGAAAGCTAGCACCAGCTAGCTGGAGTTGTCCTTGCTTTAGCAAGTGAGGGGCTGGAATCCTCGAGATCGCTGCATCACGTGAAAACTTCATATGTAGGGGGGGGGGGCCGTTCGTTGGACAGTTCCGGACCATGCGGCACACAAGTAGTTAAAACAATAATGGATCCTTCTTGAGAAGTGATAGGTTCATCTTTTAATTTAGTAGTCCAAGAAAAGACCTTGGAAACCAGGTCTGGCACAAGTGGTCCACAAGTGTGGTGGAGAAAAAATGAGGTGAAAGGAAGTGTTTCTGTTTTGCGCAAAGGTGTGACACAAGTGCCTCTGGGACACCTCTCGGGCACCTATTATGGCATCCACTTTGGTTTAACTCCTCCGGGATACGGTGCAACAGATTCAACAAGCTCACAGGTTCGTAAACACATCGGATGCATCGAATAGTGTGGCAAAGTCCAGCCACGCTTCCTTAATTATCGGGGACTTCAATTCTAAGGTTGGCTGTGTCATTGCTGTTTGTGTGTCTTACATGTTCACAACGTTTTACTTCATGAGCATTTGCCTCAATCCGCTTGATGTCCCACCAGTCCGGATGCACCCCTGCTAGCTTTCGTCACCTACCCTCGGCCTCAAGTAGCGATGACATCCAACCTAATAGCGATGGCCTGCGACCTAATAGCGATGGCCTCCAACCTAATAGCGATGGCCTGCAACCTAATTGCGATGGCCTCCAACCTAATAGCGATGGCCTGCAACCTAATAGCGAT